GAAATCCTTATCCTTATTCAGTAGAAATTTTTGACTGAAGTTAGAAATGATATAAAGAGCTTTAGTGAACAGTGAACAAGCAAGCATGAAGATTTAAAGGTGAATGCTTTATGATTTTTAGGGACCCACATAATGATTTCAAGCAGTCTGATCCTTGATTCTGAGTGGACCTCATAATCCATGTAGGACTGGCGAGGATTCATTAAAACTTATCTGTCACTCTTTTACTCTTAAACATGGTAATAGTATCATAATACTCCACTATAGAATTGAAAGGGATAATTAAAATTTTTCGACATGCTTAGATATGATGACAAGTTGATAAAGCCTTTTGTCTTCTTTAAACTAATGTTTATATTATATGCTATGGGGAAGGCAAATTTACTAACTTGGCAGGATACATCATGTTTACTTTAACCCCCATGCATTAAACTAATGTTTAACTATGGGAGGAGGGGGTGTTCATTTGCCACTGAGACTTGATTAATGATTGATCAAATATGCTTAATATTGTTTTTGTTCAGATGGCTGTATAACATCTTCCGAGCATGATCTTGTGGGGTGAGAAGTTTAAGTTTGGATTTGCTTTGGAACATTTTTTTCTACAAGTGGGCTTGACTCCATGTGTTGAGGTTGAAGCTATTGTCTCGCACCCTTTCATTTTTTTCCTTTGAAGAAGGATTAAGCATGCTTACCAAGACATAAAAGAAAGAAGACTGCCTTGGCCATGCCAATGCCTTGCACAACTCCGAGTGATAACTGATAAGCCTGGTTTGTGGGTGATTAGTGCTGTGAATACTTGTTCAACCACTGCATATAACCTAAATGTTTAGTGATTTGCGAATAAAAGGTTCAAGTGTCTGTGATATACCTAATGAATTATTAAGCAATTATTGGTGTTACACATGTTCAGAAGGATGAGTTTCTCAAAACACCTCTCCCCTTATGGTTGGTGTGATCTTCTTAGGTGAAAAGATAGTTGATTTGCACTGCAAGCTAACATCCTTTTCTACAGATGGGTTCGATTGAGAGATGTAGAACTTAACCAGGTGCTAGCCTCCCAACATTTTAGGGTTTGTAAGTGGCCGCAATCACATAGAGGGTTGATTGCATTATATTCGAAAGGGGTTTGGTGAATCACTTTTCTATAGTAATTGCAAAAGATTTGCTTTGTCTTCTATTCGAAACATAGAAAACCCTTTATTCGTTTCAAGAAATCTGAGATGAACAGGTGCGTCTTAAATGAAAAGAAAGCTCAGTGGCAAAAGCAGGCGCCTACCAAGGCCCAAGAGCGCATGCTTTAGGCTTACTGTTTTGCACTCCTTTTACGAAACCTCGTGATTCTTCTTGTTGACAAATTCCTTCGACAATAGTCTACATCTTGGAATTTAGTTTATACTAGCTACTAGCTATGTGTAACGCTGTGGGCTTTGAAATTTTTTTTTTCAAAAAAAATTGTGATTTGAGTTTTTACTATGTTTTAATTTTATTTTAGTTAGGCAATTAGAAAAAAAATAATAGCAAATAAGTCAAATTAAATAAAAAAATAAAGATTGTGATAACTAGTAGAAAAAATATTTTTTTGAAAAGAGAGAAATGATGTGCAATTCTCAACTTATTAAATATGGAAAGATGAAATTAGGTGAAGAATATCTAAAAAATCAACTTGAATTAGTATAATAAACTTGTAATTTTATTAATTAAGATTAAGCTAATTTGGATTATCATACCAAGTTAGCAGTTTATGTTATAAGATTGGGATAACATGTTAAAAAAAAAGTAACAAAAAAAAATTATGGAAAAAAATAAATGTTAATTTGTGTTAGATATTTAAATCTATGGCTCAGGTCATTAGACTGAAAGCACCTAATATTATGAAATATGATTATTAATTAATTAAATGTTAAATGATAAAATTAAAAAATAATTTCAATTATATAAAAAGATTAAAAAAATAGCAATTGAAAGAATAAAGATCAAAATTGATATACTAAATAAGTTTTATCTTTGATTAAAAGGTGAATTGAAATGTTAATTTGTGTTAGATATTTAAACTTATGGCTTAGGTCATTAAACTGGAAGCACCTATATGAAAAAACTATGAAATTTGATTATTAATTAATTAAATCTTAAAGGATAAAATTGAAAAATAATTTCAATTATATAAAAAGATTAAAAAAATAGCAATTGAAAAAATAAAGATCAAAATTGAAATACTAAATAAGTTTTATCTTTGATTGAAAGGTGAATTGAAATGAAAAATTATTTTAACACAAAAAATGAGTATCACATGTAATGACACAGTAGAATGATATTTTTGGCTATTGGGAGACATCACACGCAAAACCCCAATTATATATGCACCTCCCAGTTGCTGGTGCTGTTGACTTTTAGGTCACACATTAACATTTCATATTATGATGATAACAATTAAATAAAAATAGATTATTGATATGCTTGGACAAGATTAAGTTTATTAGCTCTTAGGGGTTCATTTTAATGCTTATTGTTAAATCTTTATATGTTACTCAATAACAAACTAAAATGAACTCATACTTCTTATTGTATGCATAAATATGATTAATATACTTTAATCAATTCAAGTTTCACCATGTTTAAAACTGTAAAACTGGCTTGTAAGCTGAATTGATCGACTATTTGGGTATACCAGGTGAATCGATTGACCGTTGTTTATTTATGATGAACTCTTAGGAATTTTTTAGGAACTGATCGACTAACTTACATTTTCACTTAAGCTAGTTGACTGCTTTAGCAATCAAAGACATTTTAATGGTTATAAACCACTAGTTTATTTTGAATATATATATATATATATAACTCTATTTTTAATGTAAAATTAAAGAGAGATTCTTAACATACATGATACAGAAGTTATTCCAAAATAAAAA